AAACATTTAGTAAGAATCCTTATCTCTAGGAGCAATCACTTCTCTAGCAGTTCTTGGGTGAGGACACAAGTTTTACATTGACCTGGTTGTGCAGATGGATAATTGTAGTTACAACACACTCATGGATTTGGTAATATGTATGGATCAGTAACAAGATCCTTAGCTTCAAGGCCATGAGTGAAAATATGGCTGGGGTGTTCTTATGAATTTGCAGGATGTATGGATCAATTGGAGTTGACATGATGGTATTACAATTGGTTTTTAAATAATTTTGATGATCAAGTCTTTCTCGATTATGGAGTAGCATTCATTCAGTCTAACTTTTGAGGAGTTGAATTTGAGGGAGATTGTTCCGCCACTCAACGAAGACCTATATACAAGAATATTTACTAACATAGCTGTAAACATGATTTAAACTGTAAGTAAACGAATTAAATAATGTTTAAGGAGTAAAATCAGGTAAATTAAAAAATATTCTGGGATGTACCTAAATATTTTGGGTATATTCTCTTTACGCAGTTAGAAATGAAAGTTTAGAATCTCAGCAAGACAGCGGACCGCGGATCCACTTTGGCGGCCACGTGGAGGTCGTGCTACAAGAAAGCCCTTCAAGTGACGAGAGAATTCCGGAGTCCTGAGCTCACGTCTCGTCCACCAGGGTTTGAAGAATTCTTTGCCCGCAGCTCGGGAAATTTCTCGCGGATAGATCAAGCTCACATTCCAGGCGAGCACAGGATTGTCACAATTCGCATGGGAACCGCGGCGCTGGAGCCGCCACTAGGGCATCACCAGCAGCAGCAGCAGCAGCAATCTCTTGTCCGCCCCCAGAGCTTGCAAATCCCAGGAGCTGCCTCGAAGATCCTGGTTCCGGAAGAATTTCGATGCCCTATCTCCGGGGAGGCGATGGCCGATCCCGTGATCGTCGCCTCGGGCCAGAGCTACGAGCGCGCCTGCATCCAGGAGTGGCTGGCACAGGGCCGGAGCGATTGCTTCAAGACCAAGGCAAAGCTGGAGCACACTTTCCTCATCCCCAACGTTGCTCTCAAGGCCGCCATTCTCAACTGGAGCGCGGTGTCGGGCATTTCCTCCCCTGAGGTGGTCTCTTCCTCTCGAGCTACAGATTTGGTGGCGAGAAAAATCGTCGAGGAGAAAAACACAGCAGTGGCAGTAGCAGTAGCAGCCGATGGCGATGGCGATGGCGATGGCGGTGGTGGCCAGGGCCACGATCGCGTCGCCCTTTCATCCGTGAGGTACGTCCACTCGGCCACAGGAGCTAGCTTACGAACGGATATGGTGGAAGTTTGTGGAAGATCATCCGTGCCCCACCCGCTCGACACGAATCCTCGCTCGCTGGAGGAGGAGGACGAGCGATCCTGCGCCACCATGGATCCCCGCCTCGTCCCGGATCTCGTCCGGCGATTGAGCAGCAGCAGCAGCGCCGGCAGCAAGGATCAAACGCTGGCGGCCTCGCAAGTCCGGCAGCTCGCACGGGAGGGGACTTTCAACCGCCGGACTCTCTGCCAGGCGGATCTCCTCGAGGCGCTGGTGGCGCTCTTGCAGTCGCGACACAAGCCGCTGGTGATCCACTCGCTGGCCGCCATCCTCAACCTCTCGCTGGAGGTGGACAACAAGCTCATGATCGTGAGAGCCGGCGCGACGCCACACCTGGTCCATGCTCTCCGCTCGAGCCAGGCCGAGATCCAGGAGCACGCCGCCGGGGCGATCTTTAGCCTGGCGCTCCACGAAGACAATCGCTTGGCCATCGGCGTGCTGGGAGCGATTCCTCCGCTCATCGAGATCTTACGGCCCAAGAGACCGCGGCAGCAGCAGCCTCCATCGCCGAGAGCTCAGCAGGACGCGTCCATGGCGCTCTACCACCTCTCGCTCGCGCAGCTCAACCGGGGCAAGATGGTCAAAGCGGGATTGGTGCCGATACTCTTGAGCATAGCGGAAGAACAAGGTGGTGGAGCTCGCCACCGCGAAGAACAGGGGGCCGGGATCCAGAGCTCCCACGATCTGGCCAGCCGCTGTATGTGCATTCTCAGCTGCCTGGCCGCGAGCTCCGACGGTAGAACAGCGCTGCTGGAGATCAACGGGGTGCGCAGGCTCTTCGCGCTGCTGCGAAACGAGAGAAGAAACTCTCCACCATCGCAAGGTGGCGATGGCGATCACGACGAGCGCGAGCTCAAGGAGCACGTAGTGGCGGCGCTCGTCCATCTCTCGAACCACAACATTCGTTTCAAGCCGCTGGCGGCGGAGGCCGGCGGCGTGGAGGCGCTGGTGGCGCTGGTGGACAGCGGCGCCGCCACCAGTCGTGCCAAGGAGAAGATCGTGACGCTGCTAAGCATATTAAAGGATCCACCTTCCGGGGTCAACTCGCCGTCCTTCACGTCCGTGGGGGAGCCTTTCTTTCCTCGCAGCTATGGCGGCCGGCGGCATGGATTGGGAGGCGGGAAGGCCGAGTCTTCGCACTTCTAGTGAGCGCTTTGGCTTGTATTTTGACTTGTAAAGAACTGGTTTTCATAGAGCGATCAAAGGCAATTGGTGTATTTACAAAGAAAAGAATGGAAACAATCGTCAGGAGTTTTCCTTTGCTTGTTCCGTTGGTTTGCTCGCAAAGACAGTCGGGACGATCGAGACGAGGCCAATAAAGAAGAGTGTTGCGATTGTCTTGAAGTCGTAGAGGTCTCGCAGGGATTGGAGTTCACCCAGTGCCAATCCGGCCTGGCATGGAAAGGAGGGAACGTTATTCCGGGAGAAAAGAGAGATTTTGATGAGGAGTGTCACTCACCCGGACCGTGACGAACGCGGCGGGGACGAGACCGATCGCGGTAGCCCAGAAAAACGTGTCGAATGGAATATCTACAATCGGAGACGCGACGTTGATGAATGTGTTTGGAAGCGTTGGAGTGATTCTCAGGAAGAGCATGTAGTTGAGAAGCTTGTCTTTGCGTTTCGCTACCTGGAGAGACGAGAAGCCGATGCTTGATCAAGTGGAAGCGAAAGAAGTGGAAGGTTTCTCACCTCGTCTCGAAAGAAGGCGAGCTTGTCCGGCCACAGCCAATTCAGCAGTGGCCTTCCAACAAGCTTGGAGAGGAAGTAACACGAGCAAGCACCCGCGGTGGCCGTGGAAACCACGAGAAGAAGGCCGTAGTACTCGCCAAAGAGCGCCCCCGCCAGCAGCGACATCAAGATGGTTCCCGGGATCATGAAAGTCTGGAGAAAAACGTAGCTCACGACATAGCCGAGCAGCACTTGCAGCGTATGATCTTGGGCATAGACAGAAAGATACTCCCTGGAGTAGAAAAGAGTGTCAAACTCGAGAGAACCGAAAGGGAAAAAACTTACGTGAGCTTTCGAAGCTCTTCCAAGGTCCGAGGAAGCTTGAAGACGTCCCGGTCGGCGTCTGGCATCGTCAAGAAGATTGCTATCAGCCCACCAACAAAGACGGTGAAGAGCGCCACCACAGCCATGGTTTCCAATCTCGTCAATGGAAAGCTCGATTCGTTTCTAGCCTCCCCATTGTCGCTATTTGCTTCTACGGTGGAATTGGATTCTCCCTTCTCTTGGAGCAATGGATCTAGAGTGCTAGGTGCAGTAGCAGCCGGGATCCAGAAGCTAGGCAGCGTGAAATAACCAGACAAGAAAGAGCTCCCGGTCCTCATCGCGCTGGGGATTGCTAGATTACCTGGAGTGGCTGCTCCTCACGATCACGATTCGTGGTAATGGCGCATCCCTAAAATCTTCCAGGCGTGGTGGAGCTCTCTTGCTCCATCCACTCAACCTAAATCAGAAGCAAAGGCCGGAATTTCGTCCCAGAAAAGGCACGCGAGATTTGGGATTTTAGGGTTTTAACTTCTCTGGCCATTTGGCAATGGAGATTGATGGTTTAGGGAGCGAGGAGCTCTTCCGCGCGGCGGAGGCCGGCGACGCCGATCCATTCCGGAGGATCGACCAAGATCACGAGCTCGCGAGGATCCTGGCATTGAGGAATGAGGACGAGCGCAGTCTGATCCACGTCGCGGCGGGATCGGGGCATGTCGAGGTGAGGAAACCTTTCTTCCAATATTTCTCGGGGCGAGCGAAGTGATTTTTTCACGCAGATTGTGAGAATTCTTGCGGCTGCTGGCCCTGGATCGGTGGATGCGAGCGACGAGGAAGGCTGGACGCCGCTGCAGTCTGCTGCCAGCAGTGGTCATGCCAAAGTTGTGGAGGTTTTGCTACAAGCAGGCACGCATTCTTTCTTTTTCACTTCCTGTTCATCCTCTTCGTCATTCTTCTTCTTCCTTCTTTCATTTCACGAAGGTTTTGCTTTGCGTTGCTGGCTTTCTCACTCAGATGCCATTCCAGGGGCGGACGTACAGAAGCAAAACAATGGAGGTCGAACTGCTCTTCACTACGCTGCCAGCAAAAATCGCGTCGAGATCGCTAGAGCATTGATCTTGGCTGGTGCGAAGATTGACAAAAAAGACAAGGTTTGATCGTGTTTCGTGTTCCATTTGAGGGATTTAACGCTGCAGTAAGCAGGTTGGATGTACACCTTTACACCGAGCTGCTAGTGCCGGGCATGCGAGTGTGTGCGAGCTCTTGCTCGAGGAAGGCGCAAATGTTGATGTCACCGATGGACAGGGCCAGACACCTCTTATGCAGGCAACAATTTGCGGTCACGACCAAGTAAGCGCAGTTCTTTACTTTGCTGTTTGTTTTTATTGATAGAATGCGCTTCCTGAATGTTCTTCCTTGCTGCTGTTGTCTGGAAGGTGGCCTTTCTTCTACTTCGCAATGGCGCTGATATTGATATCGAAGACAAAGAAGGCTTTACTGTTCTTGGGCGGGCTCCTGACACACTGAGAGCGGCTCTTGTAGATGCAGCTAAAGCCATGCTCGAGGGTTGACGACGTGTATTCGTCAAATCGAGGTTCTCTTTTCCAACCCTTTTTTGTTCCATCTCTATCCTATGACTTTTTCTGATTTTGAAAGAAGCTCCTGCCGCGAAAGACCGGAGGTTTTAGTAGGTTTGGTATTCGAATGGCTTCTTTGGTGACTCTGGTAGCAGTGGCAGTGGCAGCTCTCCAAGGCCTAGCAGCAGCAGCAATTTGTCCGCTTAATTTCGGGGTGCTTGATGGCTTCAGCTGTGATCCCGGCGGAAATTCATGTGGAACGTGCTCAGACGCATGGAACAGGCTGAATTTTGTAGTAGCGGAGTATGCTCGGAGGACACAGGTGTTCTTGCTCCCTCAGCAAGATGCCAGCGCTTGCATCGATGAGTTTAAGATGGAATTACCGGCTATGGGACAGGATGCGAATTTGAGTACGGCTTGTGGAATCACTGCATCAGTGTTGATGGAGAGCTCAGCAAGATGTCCGCAAATAAGAACAGTGGCGGATTATCGACTGTCCATCACTCCAGAAGCACTTGAGGAGTTGGATTCAGCATGCAGTAGCTTTTCAACACGTCCGGCGTGTGGTAGGTGTGTTAGCCGTGCAACTTCGGCGAGTTCGACGGCAGAGGAGGGCTGCTTGAGGTTTTCGTTTATTTACGCGGCAGGTATCGCTAGCAGAACAGGGCCTCTGGATTCGATGGTTGCATCTTGCCTCTTCTTCTTGAGAGACGCAGATGCACAGGATCAGCAACGTCGAAGGAGGGTGATCATTCTATCAACCGTGGTTCCGGCCGGTACGATCCTGGTGGTCTTGATCATAGCTATCTGGTATTTACGGCGAAGGAACTTGCAGCTACGGGATAATGAGCACAGCGACAGAACTTTCAGGATGATGCACGGACCAGTGAAGTTCAGTATCCAAGAGCTGAGGCTAGCCACCGCTGGATTCTCTTCTCGAAACAAGATTGGATCTGGAGGATTCAGCAACGTCTTCAAGGGAGTTCTGGGGGATGGAACTCTGATAGCCGTCAAGAGATTCAAAAACTGTAGTTCCGCAGGAGATGCGGAATTCATCAACGAAGTCGAAATCATCGGCAGCGTTCGCCATAGGAATCTGGCAGGACTACTCGGTTGGTGCGTCTCTAGCAGCTCCGAAACACGGCACGAGCGGTTCATTGTCTACGAGTTTATGCCCAACGGCAGCTTACAGGATCATCTCTCAGTGCCTGGCCAGAGCGTGATACGTGAATCGTGGGAACTCAGAAAAGCGATCATTCTCGGTGTTGCTCGAGGCCTGGCCTATTTGCATGGTGGTGCTGAGGCGAGAATCATCCACAGGGATGTCAAGAGCAGCAACATCTTGCTAGACGAGAGTATGACTCCAAGAATCTCGGACATGGGGCTGGCGAAGTTCGTGCCTGAGGGGGTGAGCAGTTTCAGAACGGGCACTGTCGGCACGCAGGGATACGTTGCGCCAGAGTACGTACTATACGAGCAGCTTACAGACAAGAGCGACGTTTACAGCTTCGGGATCGTGATGCTGGAAGTCTTGACGGGAAACAAGGCGCTGGTTCCGCCCTTGTCGACACCAATAGCAGACTGGGCCTGGGATTTAATCCAGAGGGACAAGCTGTGGGACGTGTTCTCTGGAGTTAAACTCGCGGGACTGGCCGACGAGTTCTTGCTGGAGATGCTACGCTTCCTCTTTGTGGCGTTTCTCTGCGCCCATCCTTACGTTGTTCACAGGCCCAGCATGCTCCAAGCTGTGAAGATGCTCGAGGATGGGACGGGTGTTCCTCAAAAGCTTCCGGAGAGGCCTCTTGGATTTGAGGTGGTCGGGAGCGGTGCTTCCAACACCGAAGCATTCAGCTTGTCAACGATCAGTAGCAGGGAGTAGCTTCAGCAGAAGGCGAGGATCTGGATATTCTTATGACCGTTGGGATGGACGGCTAGGATTACTCCCGCTCTTTTACTAGCTTCTCCCGGTCTCGAGGATCTCTCCTAGGCGGACGAACGAAGGGCGCGTAGGGTAGAGCGCCGGAAGAACAAATTCCGATTACCAGGTAGCTACTTCCTCCTTGCGGCAGCGTTTGACAGCGATTTCGCAGCAGCGGGCACGAGCGGAGGAGTTCGTTGTTTCCGTAAGAAAAGCTGCCCTCTTTCGACGCTCACCGGGAGATTTCTTCGTAGTTTGCTGGAGCGCTCGCCATCCGACGCCGATTTAGCGCTGAAGGACACCACGGCGGTTGCGCGGGTCCTCAAGAGCAAGGATTCGTTCTTTCCGTAAAAATCCGTAAGAAACACAGGCAACTACTTTCCACTTCGCTGCGGTGCTCTCTTCCGTAACGCTGAAGACTCTAAGGTGAGGAAGAATTCGTTCTATCGCAAGAAAAGCTTCCTAGTTTTGCTCTGATCTATCGACTTTAACTCCGGTCCGGTGTAGGATCCTCGATCTGCAACGAAGAGAGGTTCTTTCTCGAGGCAGCAAACAATTCCACGTAAAGATCATTCAGTGAGCGACAATTTGACTAAGTTTTTCGTGTTTCTTGACCAGATTCTTTGAGGTCCGGTCGTGATGCATCCAGATACAGACGAACGACACACAAAAGGACCAGAAGAAGCTCTCGCATGGCTGGATGACCTCCTCGCTCTCCAAAATCTCGAGAAATGCTCCTGTCCATCCGGTACGTCTGTTCACCGTCGAAGGATGGTGCTGTTCTGCATCAAGTGCCGCCAGACCCTGTGCGAAGCCAAGAAGTCCGAGCACCGTCACGGCCACAAGCTGCTGCACCTGCGCAAGATTTTTCGTTGCGTGACGGTCAGTGCACAGGACATAGGAAAGGTGATCAACGTCCGGAATGTGCAAGTCAGCTCCGAGAGGGACACCATACATCTCAACCGTCAGACTCCAAGTTTCCTGGGGCAGTGTATGGACTGCTCGCTTCTCTCGGATGACTTCTACTGCTCGATCTACTGCAAGAGGAAGCAGGCCTCCCTGGAACTTGAAGGCGAACCAGAAGAAGACAAACCAGTCGAACCAGAAGGAGGCGAGCCAGTCGAACCAGAAGGCAAACCAGAAGGACGCGAACCAGTCGAACCAGAAGGCAAACCAGAGGGTGGCAAACCAGTTGAACCAGAAGGCAAACCAGAGGGTGGCCAACCAGTCGAACCAGAAGGAAAACCAGAAGAAGGCAAACAAGAAGGCGAACCAGAAGGCAAACCAGAAGGCGAGCCAGAAGGCAAACCGGAAGCCTCGAGTTGCTCTCAAGAAGAACGTCCAGGCCCAGGGAGCTGCGTTCTAAAGGGAAAGCGGTCTAGGCGCGGGCGGAGACAAAGCATGGAAGCCGGGAGTTTCGCTAGAGGCACTGCTGAAGGGGACTGGTTTTACTACAGGCCGGGCTGTCCATACGCTTTCGTCGACCTCGAAGCAAAGACGGCGGCTCTCAAAGGCAAGCGGGTTCTCTCGACTGATTCACTCGAGACAGTCTACATCAAGACGATGCAGTGAAACGACGGCTTTCGGAGCTTCACACTTCCTTGAGCAGCGTCAGCTCTACTAGGCCGAGCGGTCCACGGGGCTGGATCTGCGAGGGACGGACAAAGGCCAGAAAGTTCTTGCCGCTGCTCACGCTGAAGCTGTTGGAGGCCAGGGCCGGGGAGTCGAAGGAAACGTTGAATGCCGGGGATGATGGGAGCTGGCGGTCGTAGAGCTGGAAGGAGCCTTTGGTCCCGGTGAAGAGCGTCTTGCCACAGGCCGCAATGGTGAGGGAGCCATTGCCGGAAGATATGTGCTCCAACTCTGGGGACGAGGCTTCGTTGGTGGTGTTTGGGTAGTCGCACCAGGCCCCCCAATCCAGATGGGCGTTCTTCACGACCAGCGAGGCGGAGCCCCTGTCATTGATCTTCACCGCGACCCATTGCCTCGCTCCTGATCACTCACAGTGTGTGGATCTTGATAGGATTTGGAAGAACTTGCCTTCTTGAGCACTCGATGAAACGATCAAAGTCGCCAGGAAGATGACGCTGATGTGTTCGTTATCCATATTCAAAAAAAGTAGGGTTTAGGGTTTAAGATATTCGGTGGTATATTCTTTGAGGGCTAAAATGAACCAGATAAAATGGTGGACAGATAAAATGTTGGAGATTCTTTTTTGAATCAAACTCATAACTCCATCTAATCTTTAATTGTTTGTGACTGAGTTCCTCCTTTTTGTTGCAGGTGTTATACAACATTTTGGTGGTGTTTTTGTATCCTTCTACATGAACCAGCAATGGCTATGGTGTTCCATTGATGTGGAAGCATGACATGCACTCTTGTGCACATGAAATCTCCAAGGGTATCTAGATTTGTCCAAAGATCTGACAATGAGGAGGATACTATGGACTAGATCTCCCCTAGAGAGCAAAAGAGTTATGATTTAGGAGAAATATGAAGACATCCAAACTTTTTTAAGATAAGATCTTTGATAGTTTTTGTAATCTGCCTCTCAATATTTGTTTTTACAGAAACTCAAAAAGGTTGTAAACTCTCTTACTCCACTCTGGAAATGCAGTTGGACTCACACTAAAATATTTTGCCACGTGGCAAGCAAGAATGCAGAAGCATGAAGTTAATGGCCCCCCGATAAGCCATCCATATTATGGTTCACAAAGCCCTATTCATTATAAAAGGTGGCATAGCTCGAAAGATCCAATTGGGTATAGCAATTTTAATCTTTACCAAAACTGACACTATTATGTATTGTGCCATATGCATACACCCAAACATGAATTTAACAATTGGTGAGAAAAGAAAACAAGGATTACTTCTTAAAATTGCTAAAGGATGTTTAGTTACCAATAGCTGACTATGAGCTACAATCAAAATTCTTCAAAATACTCCAAATCACACTAAAAACCAAATACATTCTCACAAGCACTCATTATGCTCATTAAGATCATTTCAAGAACACTTTTAAACACTTTTAAACTCTATTAACTGTTTTGGGGCCCAACTTAACCCTTTTCTAACATTGCTTTCTTACATATATACATCCAATATAGAAAAGGATACAAATGAATTTTCTCAACCATTTCAAAAATGTTGTGTAGGAAGAGATTATGAAAAACTTATTTGCAACTCTAAAGTATATTCAAAAAATTATCCTCAAGGATTTTATCGCAACACTCTACTCAATACATGCTGTTAAAAGACTCAACTGACCGGAGTTAGCTTGCAAGACTTATTATGAAGCATATAACCTACTACTAGCTTGAGGAGGTATGTCTATTGTATTTCATATGTAACAATAATATCTTTTTCTTATATTATATTGTTTATGATAAAATCTTGGATGTGTGAATTTCAAAAGAAGAAGTTGCAATAAAAAATTGACTCTATCCTTGAGTTGAAATATATCTATCCATATGAATTCATCAATAGAAATTTGTTTTTAGATCAAATTGTGAATGAGCAGGAGCACCCTTTCCTTTTCAAGATATCTACAATAAACATTACCTCTAGTGTAGATTTTGTCTTTCGAATGGACATGTTTGGGTCTAGTGACCTTGCAAATGCATGAGTTATATGAAGTGCATGTTAGGTTGGATAACCATGGGAGCTCATATGAGGGTAATTTTATTTCAATTATATTAAAATGGTTATAATATTTATGTTTCCACAAGCTACATTGTAATTTGACAATTTTGATAGCAAAGCTTAAAGTATAAGATCAGACAGCCCATGAAATATTTTGGAAGTCCCTCTCCAATATTGTGCTAAAGTGGACTGATAAGCTTGCAAAATTTTGTGGTTTCATGGCAAAAAAGGTTGGTGCAAACTGGAATGGTGTTTGAGCAATTTTTAGGGATGGTCAACCATTAAAAGGACTTGTGAGTTTTATTGGGCATAGAACCTAATCTAGCACTGCCATTTTATTAAGCTAAGGTTTTAATCAATATTTAAGGAGTTATGTAAATAATGGCAAGTTACACCTTCTGAAAATGAGCATAAGGCAAATGTAAATAAAATTCTGTATATGGCGTGAAGTGGACATAAGTTGCTTACTTCAACTTGAGTCATGGTTAAAGTGGTGGGAAGTTAAAATGTTCTAATGGGGATATCACAGGTTAGTTTCTTCTCATTTTATCGCCTTTTAATATTGCTTTTTCTATTAAGATCAACTACTTAAGAACTTTGCATACACCTCAATTGTGAATCTCTCCAAAAGTAAGTATTGGAGTTGGCATTCCTCTGAGGTAGGGTAAGGGAAAATGAATTATATAAAGCATGTCTGTTAGATTTAATATGCATTATAGAGTAGTCTTTGAAAGTGTTGGCATTTGAAGAAGGAAAATACGTGGGAATAAGGAGATGTTACATGATAGGATGAAGAGAAAATTAACTCTACCCACTCAAACGATGGCAATTATCGTTGAGGAAGTGGTCTGTGGCACATCTATAAAATACACTCCCTAAGCTTTTATTAGTGATATGAAAATTGTTCACTCAAAGCATTACTTTTCCTTTGTTGGTGAAGATGTTAGCATGGACCTTAGAGCAAAAAACTTTCAAAAGCCTAATATTGAGTACCATTTTGCTCCAAGACATTATCCTCAAACCAAACCACCTCAAGTGGCTAATGAGAAGAGTGCATCATAACAGGGTAAAATCACTTACCATAATATGGAGCTAAAGTAACAGATAATCTGCCAAGTGCTAACAAAATTTAATGTAAAGTGTGTTGGGATGCTTTTGAGGGGTAACTATTGGGCCTAGATCCATGGTGACAAATTTGCTTTTGTTTTGGCCTTATATTTCTATTGAAAATGTGTGAAACACAAAATCCCTAGGCCCCAAAGTGGAGCTGGAAAGGGTGCCACGTGGTAGTGGCCGAAGTGAAAACCAAACGAGTGTAACACGTTTGGACTAAAAGCTCTGACTTGGAAGGTCGAGAGTGGGAGTGGAACTCCCAACAAAGTGCTCAAGGAGCGAGCACGAAGCGAGCAATAAGCAAGGCTCCAAAAAAGGACCCAAAAAGGACCAACACATGACACGTGGAAGTGTCCAAGATGGAGTCCGAGATGGACCCGAAGTGGAGTCCGATATGGAGCCCGAAGTGGAGTCCGAGATGGAGTCCGAGATGGACCCGAAGTGGAGTCCGAGGTGGACCGAGACGGAGTCCGAGATGGACCCGAGATAGAGTCCGAGATGGAGTCCGAGATGGACCCGAGATGGAGTCCAAGATGGAGTCCAAGGTGGACCGAGATGGAGTCCGAGATGGACCCGAGATGGAGTCCGAGATGGACCCGAGATGGAGTCCGAGATGGAGTCCGAGGTGGACCGAGACGGAGTCCGAGATGGAGTCCGAGGTGGACCGAGACGGAGTCCGAGATGGAACCGAGATGGAGTCCGAGATGGACCGAGACGGAGTCCAAGGTGGAGTCCGAGATGGAGTCCGAGATGGACCGAGATGGAGCCCGAGATGGAGTCCGAGAAGGAGTATGAGAAGGACCCGAGATGGAGTCCGAGGTCGAGACCGAGACCGGGACCGAGACCGAGACCGAGATCGGGACCGAGACTGAGACCGGGACCGAGACCGAGACCGAGGCCAAGGCTGAGACTGAGCCCGAGCCCGAGTCTGAGTCCGAGTCCGAGTCCGAGTCCGAGTCCGAGTCCGAGTTCGAGTCTGAGAGGGTGAAAGCCCAAAGCGTTCGTCTCCCAGACCCTGGGGGGTTTGGTGAGCTCCAAAAGTATAGTAAGGGGGAGGACTGCAGTGGAGCCAGTTTGGCCAAGAAAGGCCAGTTTGGCCCAGGAAGGCCAGACCCAGTGTTGGGTGATGAACTGACCACTAGGAAGTCCAAGACTAGAGTGAATACGAACCGACAAGCGGGGTAGCTTGGTGAAGTGTTCAAGAGCCGGCTCTAGTTCCCCCGGGAGATCGACTGGCCGATGCTCCCAGTCCAAGTGTGGGTGGCACTACCTACTTGGATACCAGGTGTGGCTCAACGGAACCTCGCTCTAAGCCCATGGCTAGAGCACCTAAAGGCGAAAGGCAGGGAGAGTACCCAGGTGGCTCGCGTAAGGCCACGGTGTTCCGAAATGTTGTCCCAAAGGCCCAGACTGTGGAAAGGAAGAGGAGCAATCCTCTGGGGTAGTGACCAAGGACACAGTCGTGTGGTGAGGAAGTCCCAGAGGACCGTGGGACTTAGTGGTCGGGCCGGTGGGCTTCGATTCAGTGGTAGTGTTGGTGAACACGGCCGTGGGCCAAAAGGGACTTGGTGGGGACCAGAAAAGGGATATTGGGGAAGGCTATTCCCCTTGTCAGTGGGCATCCTAAAGATGCTAAGGAGTGGATCTGGGATGACCCCTCATGGATGGTTGGCCCAGTCTTGGAGAGACAAGACTGTGTTGCAAGTGGTATTGGACTGCCAATGCGGCAAAGGTGATTGGGCATGGCCTTAGCGTAATAGGCTGCTATGTCGGTGGTACCTTTGAGTGTTGGTCATGGAATTGGACACGTGGAGCACTTGGACCAGGTGCAAGGGTTGAGTGGCATGGATGCCATTCTTGGGGCTAGCAAGTCCCAAGTCCTAAATTGGACTTATGGAGGTTGTGAATGAGACTCCTCCAAGTTGTCGGAGGTGTGGTTAAGTGACTAAAGTAGAATGGAAAAATTAGTCACTTACAACTTGGTATCGGAGCTGTTCCTTAGTCCGACTCTTATTGGTGGCGAAGCATATCACCACTTGTATTGGAAACGGAAGGTCCTAGATATGGGCCTATCCTCGAGGAGTAGCATGTCGAGAGGACATGGCTCTCCACTCAAGTTCATGCGTGAGCTTGTGCATGATGTGGTGGATGGACAAGGGCCAATAAGGGAACGACTTTGGGATCTTGGGAATAGTATAAGGGTTTCCTCAAAGAGTTGAGGATGTGATCTAGATGAGCGTTTGACGTAGCAAACGAGCTAATGTAGTTGTGGTAAACAACTATAGTTGGGATCACGGGAAAGATGCAAACTCCAAAACGATAAAGGAGTCACAAGATTACCCTCATATAGTT